GGGTCGAACGACCCTTACACAGGGGACGCCTAAGACCATCGGAAACGACACATTTATGAAAAAGCAACGAATATAATTTTTGGGGTTGGGGTTGCAAAACACATGGAGCTGTATCAAAGGGTCGAGACATTAGGAAGGCTGAGAACCACCGCATCAAAGAAGACGACAAAACAAGCATCGTGATTTAACACACGAATTTTCTGACGTCCCCATCTTCTATGATGTTCTACGGGTCAAAGGTCACCAGCACTCTCACCACACAGAAGAATAGCGCGCCAAGAGTGAGCCGTCCTTACAAGAACGGTAAGGGGGGGTTGGGGGTTGGTGGGAGCACGGGGGGGGGGGGGGAGGGGGGGGGGGCAAGGGGGGGAGAAAAGGAATTCAGGACGGAAAATAAATATGAAATCAATGCTGCATGGATGGTTTATGGAACGTCCTTGAGGTGGGGGGGGGGCGTGTGGGGCGCTAAATGTGGGTTGTTGTTACACGGTTGGGGAGGTCTTGCTGTGAAACAAGGGTATGTGGTGGACGATACCATTGATATGCTGTAGACGATACCAGCATATACTGTGTACGATACCAGAATATACTGTGGACTTTATTAAAATATGCTGTGGATTATACCAGAGTATACTGTGTACTTTACCAGCATATACTGTGGACTTTACCTGTGGACTTTATTAGAATCTACTGTGGATTATACCAGAATAAACCGTGTACTTGACCAGAATATACTGTGGACGATACCAGCATATACTGTGGACGATACCAGAATATACTGTGGACGATACCATTGATATATTGTGGACGATACCATTGACATACTGTGGACGATACCATTGATATACTGTGTACTTAAACAGAATATACGTTGAACGATACGAGCATATACTGTGGACGATACAAGAATATACTGTGGGCAATACCATTGATACACTGTGGACGATAAAATTGATATACTGTAGACGGTACCAGCATGTACTGTGTACGATACTAGAATATACTGTGGACTTTACCTTTGGACTTTATTAGAATATACTTTGAATTATACCAGAATATACTGTAGACGATACCGCATATACTGTTAACGATACCAGAATATACTATGGACGATACCATTGACACACTGTGGACGATACCGTTGATATACTGTGAGCGATACCATTAATATACTGTTGACTGTACCAGAATATACTGTGGACTTTACCACTGCAGGTACTGTGGACGATACCAGCTGACAGTGTGTATCTAAAAGCACAAGGGCCACGAGTATGTGGACGTCATATATGTGGTGGAAAGAGTTGTGGCGCGACAAAATAATAATCCCTATCTCTATGACGGTATTGGTCGGCTGGATTATTGATTTAGTGAGTACCGAATGCCCTGTGTCCACTAGCAATATCATTTGTATCGATCTAGAGATATTGTCGGATGTGTCCTCAATAAAATACAACATCCATTGGGTGTTATTTAAAACACATAAACTACATTTATAAATTGAAGAAATGCTTGAAATAGAGCATCTACTTCACTACAGGGTTTGTCATTCCTGAGATCGGAACACGTCACATCGGTTTACGTAATGTTACTATTATTAGACAATGTTTTCGTAAAGCATAGCTTCTAAAAATGCATTTCCACACATATGATATGACGAAGTGTAGAACTACACAGCAACTCCATCGACTCGCGAAGACGAAATGATGCCATATATTATATATATATATATACATATAGTAGTATCAATTTGTAAAATCTTTGGTACAATAAAGTTGTAGACACGGTTTCGTCTAGGTTAAGGCCCACTACACCGGCTCACACTGACGTAGAAGTACCGAACAGCTATTGAGAGATTGGCCAAACGGAACACCAGGATGATTTATTAATATCTTAATAAAATTGGTCAGACCGTAATACCCGGATTCTATTAATAGATTTCCGCCATTAAACTTTATAAGATGATTAAAAAAAAAAAACCCAATAAAATAGAGAAGCTATCAGCTAAATGACCTGGTCTCTCCTATAATCTCAGGAAAGCCCGCCTGTGAATAGTTAATAACCTTATGGTGTGTAGTATTTTGATTATGACCTGAGAAATATATTCTTTAGAAAAAGGTATTCTTTATAAAGGATGCGACGTTATACCGGACCGTGAGTACTGAATGTCCCGTTTGTACTAGCAAATATCCCTTATGCCGTGAGTACTGAATGTCCCGTGTGTACTAGCAAATATCCCTTATGCCGTGAGTACTCAATGTCCCGTGTGTACTAGCAAATATCACTTATGCCATGAGTACTGAATGTCCCGTGTGTACTAGCAAATATCCCTTATGCCGTGAGTACTGAATGTCCCGTGTGGACTAGCAAATATCATTTATGCCGTGAGTACTGAATGTCCCGTTTGTACTAGCAAATATCACTTATGCCGTGAGTACTGAATGTCCCGTGTGTACTACCAAATATCCCTTATGCCGTCAGTACTGAATGTCCCGTGTGGACTACCAAATATCCCTTATGCCGTGGGTACTGAATGCCCCGTGTGGACTACCAAATATCACTTATGCCGTGAGTACTGAATGCCCCGTGTGGACTACCAAATATCACTTATGCCGTGAGTACTGAATGTCCCGTGTGTACAAGTGATATCAATGATATAGTTCGTGTAAAAGATAAAAACAGCATAGACTCGAACAATTAGATTTATAGAAAACATAAGCCCATTAATATTTATTGGCTTCAACGCTTCTCCAAGAAGCGGCTTGTCCAAGTGAACTACACTACATGTTTCTTTCACGCAAGATTTTCATTTTTGTTTTGTTTGTAGTACTCGGGATTGGGGGGGGGGGCAGACTGTTTTTGTTTTGCACCAAAGCGGGGGACCAGATTATAAAATGTTACCGCCAGACATCGCGCCCCCCCCCCCCCCCCCCCCAACACCAGAAAGAGTGCACCTGAGATAACTTACCTGTGAAGTTTATAAATGTAACATTAAACAAATGATATTAGTATAAAGTATGTTTAAGAGATGGTCCAAAAACAAAAAGATGCTGCCTGTGGTTGGAAGGGCTGGGGAGGGGTTGGGCGGGTGATTTTATACTGTTGCTTCGTCACCTCTTTTGGGGCACATACTGGACAGAGCCATCAATCTAGACCAGAGGCCGCCAAACTCATTCGTCAAAAGAGCCAAAAAAATCAGCAGCAGGACGATTTAAAAAAAAAATAAAAAATTGAGAGCTCAAGTTTCTTTTCTAGAACCCGTCAAGAACCATGTTTTTTCGGACTCAAACCTTTTTTTTTTTTGGCCGACTTGCCGAGCCGCACTCAGGTCGATGAAGAGCCGCATGCAGCTCGCACGCCACTATTTGCCGACCAGTGATCTAGATCGCAATGACAGCGTTCATTGTTGAATGAAACAGGTCACAAGGAAGGGTTTAATTCAATTGATTGAGTGCCATTATGGGATAAACTAATGCCCCGTTTCTCTCCGCGTTTCTCTTTGTCCCCCCGTCCAATCTAATTCCGTCTGAATGCACGCGAGAGCACGCGGGATCGGAAGTGCTAAAGTTCACGCGCGAGTGCATCACGGATTTTTTCGTTTTAAATTTCCCTTGCGAACATGAATGCCTTGTTCGTTAAAGAAAAAATGTTAACAAGAAACATATTACACTAGAAATGTTACAATAGGAATGTTTCACTAGAAATGTTACAATAGAAATGTTGCACTGGAAATATTGCACTAGAAATATCAAACTGGGAATCTTACAATAGAAATGTTGAACTAGAAATGTTACAATAGAAATATTACACTGGAAATGTTACACTAGAAATGTTAAACTGGAAATGTTACATTAGAAATGATAAACTGGAAATTTTACAATGGAAATGTTACACTGGAAATGTTACTAGAACTTAGCCAGCGCAAAGCATTGTGGATAAAGTCACGTGATCTCAATGGCCGTTGGTAAGCGAGGCTGTTGTTCGCACGTCTTCATTTGCCTTGGGGGGGGGGGCGTCAACGCATCTTGACTGGGTTCAGTGGCGTCAATACATCTTTATTGGGCTCAGGGGCATGTACTCATCGTAATGAAGGGCCACTAAGCTCACGATTGTGTACATGTGAAAGCAAATATATTCTATATTTGTTTCGGTGGTGTCACTACGTACATCTGCAGCCCCTTCACTGAGGTTGTGTATGTTTTACGGGGGTTGGATATATACGTTAATTAGTGGGACTTAAAAATTTTATGAAATACAGGTGGTGCATGTATACAATATAAAGTATATATGTGTAGCATATTCTCTGCTCTTAGCAAGAGACGTCTCCGCGGGTTAGGTCATAAAAGGAGAATCGAGGAAGGTCGTATCCCAAAGGGTCTGCTTCATGGAGAGATTGAAGAACGGGGCAAGACTTACTGGGAGGTCCGCGGCTACGATTTCTGGACGTTTGCCTAAGGCAACCACAGAAATAAAAGAATGAGAGATCATCGCTGAGCACCGTTCCAGCTGGCAAATAGCAGTGTGTGAAGACGTCAAAAAGGCAGATTGCGCGCGAAACGAAGCCCTTGAAACCAAAGCAAAAAAAAAACAAACGAATTACAGTCCAAATTTAAACAGGAGCCCAGATTCTCCTACGAGAAATGCAGCTGAGACTGCCATTCCAGGATCGGTCTAGTAAGACATTTGATGAAGCGTCCATAGCTGTCCTATCGTCTCGCGAAGATGGAAAGATTCCATGTGTACATATAGTGGGAGGGCGAGGGGGTGGTAGTGTTTCCCTTGTCGTTTACAGTAATCATTAGAAATTTTATAGGTTTTGTTTTTGTTTTTAACTTACTAAAAAAATGATTGAGTCCCCATCATAAAATTCGTATACAAATAAATGAAACTACAGGGAATGTATGTCATAATAAGGATATGAATCAAGATGCAAACATTTTAAATCTCCTTTTTTTCCAAAAAAGTTAATTTATTTTATTTTAATAAAGAAAAGTTAAAGTAGTCTAAAATCCAAGAAGAGTAATCACAAAATGTCTGTTATCAAATAATTTTAAATGCAGTTGTATCCCTTGACTGATTTTTTTTTTTAAACAGCTCCACTCTTCGTGTCCGGTCACACCAGCAATGCACGTATTTACATCCTGTTTGTTGTCTGGCAACCTGTTGGTTGCTTGGCAGCCTGTATGTTGTCTGGCAACCTGCAGGTCGTCTAGCAGCCCGTAGGACGTCTGCAGGTCGTCAAGCAGCCGTAGGACGTCTGGCAACCCGTAGGTCGTATGGCAACAAGTAGGTCGTCTTGCAGCCTGTAGGTCGTCTGGCAACCTGTAGGTCGTCTTGCAACCTGTAAGTCGTCTGGCAACCTGTAAGTTGTCTTGCAGCCCGTTGATCGTCTGGCAACCTGTAGGTCGTCTGGCAACCTGTAGGTCGTCTGGCAACCCGTAGGTCGTCTGGCAACCCGTAGGTCGTCTGGCAACCTGTAGGTCGTCTGGCAACCCGTAGGTCGTCTGGCAACCTGTATGTCGTCTGGCAACCTGTATGTCGTCTGGCATACTGTAGGTCGTCTGGCAGCCTGTAGATCAGACCGTGGTGTAAAATAATAAAGTAAATCTAGTTTATAGAGTTTGAAACAATAATTAGTAAGTCAATTAAACTTAAAAGCTTTTCACCCTTGTTTAAAGTTGAGATTGGACTCTAAGATAGCATCGATTTTGGGCCTGTCATTGGTCAGCGACGACACTCGATACGGTTGGAGGTCACTGCGTCATTTTGAGGCCCATATGACCCCTTTGTCCCTATGAATAAAAGGCTTCGGCCTGGTTACCAACCGTGGGAATGGGTCTCCAAGTGGTCGGCTAAATTTAACATAAAAGCCCAAAATAAAATTTATGCTAGCTACTTACAAAAGTAATGTTGGAAATAAGGGGACGGGTGAGTAAAGCAATGCTTTTTTTCAGATGGATCCTTCATCTCGCTGCTACACTATTTCTTTACAGGGTTCATCCTGATGTGATTGTTACAGCTGCCTCTAACAGAGGCAACTCTACGTTTTGAACCAAAGCAGAAATGTTGGAAAGAACTGTTTCGTGGAAAGTTAACTAAACATAATAATATCTTAACATTGAGATTTTTTTTTAAAAATGGTATGCGTTTTTTTTAGTAAGTTCTCTCTTACTTGAGTACAAGGTACGGTATCTAACGGAGAGTTATTTAAAGTCGCTCTATCTTCTGTTTGTCAGACCTGATGAAGGACTGCCAGACGTGCTATCACTGAGAAAAGTTTCACACCTACTTTAATAAATATCTTCTTAACCCCGATGATTTAGATTCCGCGTCACCAGTAATGCCGTGATACAACACAACATTCGTGGTTCCCTCAGTTGTTGCGTAACCTCCATCTTCACGTGTCGTTTGTCTTTTGATCCGCAGCATGAGATGGTCCACAAGATATCGGATATAGCAAATTGCTGGTCGAAATCCACTGAAAACTGCAGTTACACTTTTTTTTTTTTTTTAGAAACCTCCATTAGTAAATTCGCTTTTGTAAGTGGTGGCTGGCAAAAATCTTCGGACGACCTATAGACCCACTTCCCGTCAACAATCCGAGCTGAAACATCGCACATCGACTGTTTGCCCATGACAATCCAATTCAAATTTGCAGCTTCAATCCCAATCCTGTTTTTCAATGGGAAGATGAAAGGATTTGGATGGCACTGATTTCTTTAACTGCGCTAAAGGAGATTCTATTTTTTTTTTAATAGCAAGTGCGTTTTTTTTTTTTTTTTGTTTCTTCTAAAAATTTAGGGGAAGTACATTTTTTTCAGCCCCACTACTGGAGATCACATTTCTTAAAGAATTTATATGATAAAATATGTTTTCAGTGGTTGTTTATTTAAACATAAAATAAACCTAATTGAAAATCTCTTTGGTATCAATCAAAATCCATGCGGTAAAAATATTTTTTAAAAACAAATAAATTATAACTAAACGAAATGAATGCACAAACATATTATCAAGCTTTAACCACTGAACACAAATATTAATGAAAGTGTGTAGTCACGAAATAAAATAAAATATGTTTGTTTCAAACATGAATTATTTTGAGATAAACTCTAGGCTCTGAAAAAAAACAAATAAACTATTGAATAATTAAAAAGAAACATTGAAACAGCCACTGAAACAAATAAAACTTCTTGCTAATTAAAGCTTTCTTCTTAAGGAAACGGAACTAATCTGATTGGAAGAGGAACAAAACCAAGAATGCATTTCAATTGGAAAATTGATTCTGGACAAGCAGGAAAAACAATTGATGGCACAAACAGACGTAAAGATCATCATACCAGAAGATCATCATACGAAAGGATCTTGTTAAGCACTGGCTTCCCTTGTGAGAAATTAATCTCTTGTTTTAAGTTTTATGGCTCGTTGAAACAGTTGCCTAACAAAGGACGATACCATAGAGAAATACAATAACAAAATTACGACACCCAAAACAGTTGCCAATTACAATAAAAAAAAAATTTAATTTAGTAACAATACGATTACAAAACAAAAGAAATATAATTACAAATCATCAACTTACAGTATGGTAGATCTTGTACAGGTACACAGTTAACACAGTTAGTACAATGTGCCAATTAATAATGATGAATGATGAATGCGATTAAACACATATGATCCCACAAAGAATAATACAATTGTCTCGTAAAGTTAATAATATCTATCTCCGTCTATCTCAATCTCCGTCTGAATCTCTCTCTCAATCTCCGAAACCCTTTATTTATATTGTGGGTCTACCGACGCATCAAGAAACGCCTTTACTGTCGCGAACATTCGACAAAACACCACTGAGATCAAATTTATTATTTTTAGTTGCTGTCGGCAAGAAACACGACCGATCAAAAGACTAAGCCACGCCCATCTATGAACGTAGTGTCTCACGTGGGGTCAACCAGAGTGCACGCACGAGGAAAGTGTTGTAAACAAGCTCTACATAACAATCTCTATACGAAGAGATCAACATAAGAAAAGATCAGCATACGAACAGATATACATTTATGTGGTGGTTATTGCTTTCAGTTTTTCTTTTGTTATACAACCAATGTCTAGGGTAAGCTGCTCAAATGTCTGACTTTATTTTAATCTGCTTCGTATTATAAACATGTTGATAAGAACTTCATTTGCATTAACCTCTAGGCATGTCATTGTATATGTGTCATGTTATCAGCCTGAACGTACGTTATGTCATTTTATCAGCTTGGCAAGCATGTTATTATGTCATTTATCACCTGGGCATGTATGTAATGACATTTTAAAAGCTGGGCAAGCATGTCATTATGTTATTTATCAGCTGGGCATTTAATGTTATGTCATTTTATCAGCCAGGCATGTATGTCTCATTTTATGAGCTTGGCATGTATCTACAGAGACGTCATTTGGGTAGGGCAGGGTGGGGCCTTTGCCCCCCCCCCCCCCCCCCCCCGCAGGTTTTATTTAACTTGCTATCTACTGTGGCACCTCCAAAAATAGAAAACTTAACAAGTCTACCAAGTTTTGGTTTTGCCCACCCCCCACCACCCTGAAAATCCATGAAATGACGCCCCTTTGTATATCTGTCATTTTATCATCTGGGGTTGGATATTTGTAATTTTATCAGCTGAGGACATCTATGTTGACTATTCTATCAGCAGGCGAAGCACAGGGTGCTTTCCGCGTCGTGTGCCACTTTTCTTTTAATATACTGAAAAGGGGGGGGGGGCATTTTCGGACAACTACAGAGTTTTTTTATCATGCAGATATAAGTAGTGGGGGAGGGGGGGGTGCGGCAAATATCTTGGTCCGAACACATAATGAGTCTTGTTTAACAGCTGGGCACATTAACAGCTAAGAATGTAACACGAATGTTGGACAAGTCGGGTTACTTAATATCGGCTTATGGGGAGTATTCAAGACACGTGGCACCACATCATCGCTGGGTCATAACTCCCCTTATCAGATGGGCCACACATCACGTGATGTGGGGATAAGGCGGATTTAACAGCACGGGGCCCACCGCCCAGTGCCCGTGGATTATCTGGGGGATAACGGAAGTCACGTGGTGATGGCGGTCATAAGGATTGTCTCCCGGGGAGGTCATTGTAATCCCAGCAAACAGCCAGATATATTCGGACAAGATGAAATAGAAATATAATAGTAATCAATCAATCAATCCATCCATCCATCCATCCATTCATCCCTCCATCCATCATCCATCCATCATCCATCCATCATCCATCCATCCATCATCCATCTATCCTCCATCCATCATCCATCCATCATCCATCCATCATCCATCCATCATCCATCCATCATCCATCCATCATCCATCCATCATCCATCCATCATCCATACATCATCCATCCATCATCCACCCATCATCCATCCATCAACCATCCATCAACCATCCATCATCCATCCATCATCCATCCATCATCCATCCATCCATCCATCCAATCTATCTAATCTATCTAATCTACCTAATCTATCTAATCTACCTAATCTATCTATCTATATATAAATCTGTGTGGGGGGGGGGTTGTTTGGTGGTTGGTAGAACTAGTGGTAGTGGTGGGGTGAGAGTTGCTATTGGTGGTGGTGGTATTGGGATGGCGCTTTTCGATTAGTGGTGGTGGTAGTGGTGGGGTGTATTGTTGTTGCCGGTTGGTGGGAGTAGTGGGGTGGGGCAGGCAGTTACCTTAAATGACGTCACTACGTTGTAAGCAGCTACTTAAAATGTTTTTCCATCATTCTTTTTAAGAAAATAAAAGCATTGCTAAATCATGCGTTGATCCCGCCCCTCCCAGCCTGTTTTCTCACCATTGTTCAGTGGACGATGAGAAGGCACAGTAATAGCTGGCTTAAAAGTCAGAAACTGAGCCGTGACGAGGAAAGTCTGCTCACGTGGCAACGCCCAAATTTAGTCTCCCTCTTCCCAGAATTTAGTCGCCCTCTTTCCAGAAATTAATCGCCCTCTTCCCAGAATTTAGTCACCATCTTCCCAGAATTTAGTCGCCCTCTTCCCAGAATTTAGTCGCCCTCTTCCCAGAATTTAGTCACCCTCTTACCAGAATTTATTTGCTATCTTCCTAGAATTTAGTCTCGCCCTCTTCCTAGAATTGAGTCCTCCTCTTCCCAAAATTTAGTCGCAATCTTCCCAAAATTCAGTCGCAATCTTCCCAGAGATTTGTCGCCCTCACCCCAGAATTTAGTCACCCTCACCCCAGTATTTAGTCTCGCCAATCTTCCCAGAATTTAGTCCTCCTCTTCCCAAAATTTAGTCGCAATCTTCCAAAAATTTTTGTCGCAATCTTCCTAGAATTTAGTCACCCTCACCCCAGAAAATAGTCGCCATCTTCCCAGAATTTAGTCGCCCTCTTCCCAGAATTTAGTCCTCCTCTTCCCAAAATTTATTCGCAATCTTCCCAAAATTCAGTCGCAATCTTCCCAGAATTTAGTCACCCTCACCCCAGAATTTAGTCGCCCTCTTCCCAGAATTTAGTCTCGCCATCTTCCCAGAATTTAGTCCTCCTCTTCCCAAAATTTAGTCGCAATCTTCCAAAAATTTGTGTTGCAATCTTCCTAGAATTTAGTCACCCTCACCTCAGAAAATAGTCGCCATCTTCCCAGAATTTAGTCACCCTCTTCTTAGAATTTAGTCTCGCCATCTTCCCAAAATTTAGTCACCATCATCCCAGAATTTAGTCGCCATCTTCCCAAAAATTAGTTGCAATCTTCCTAGAATTTAGTCGCCCTCTTCCCAGTATTTAGTCGCCCTCACTCCAGTATTTAGCTGCCCTCTTCCCAGAATTTAGTCGCCCTTTTCCCAGAATTCAGTATCGCCCTCTTCCCAAAATTTAGTTGCCCTCTTCTCAGAATTTAGTCTCACCCTCTTCCCAAAATTTAGTCGTCCTCTTCCCAAAATTTAGTAGCCCTCTTCCCAAAATTTAGTCGCCATCTTCCCAGAATTTAGTCGTCCTCTTCCTAGAATTTAGTCGTCCTCTTCCCAGAATTTAGTCGTCCTCTTCCCAGAATTTAGTCGTCCTCTTCCCAGAATTTAGTCGTCCTCTTCCCAGAATTTAGTCGCACTCTTCCCAGAATTTAGTTGCCCTCTTCCCAGATTTGAGTCACCCTCTTCCCAAAAATGTATACATTTCTGCATACTTTTTTTGTCATGAAAATTGACGATTTGTTTGCCCCTCTTAAGATGGCGCCTAAGATTTGTGCACCTTTTATCCCACCGCCTCCCTTTCTCCCCATTGCACGGCCCTCTTCCTCTTGTCAAAAGGACATGGCTACCTTTGATACAAAGCATAATGCTATAGTAAACTGCTGAAACTTGATTGTCAAAGTTACAGCTCTGCGAGAATTAAGGAACCAAATTATCTAAATGAATGTAGTTACCAAATGCTCTGTAGGAATGTAGTTACCAAATGAGTTATGAATGTAGTATGATCTATATCAGGCCTGCACAACTCAAAATGTAAGGCGGGCCGTAATGCATTTTGAAAAACTTGTGCGGGCCAAAAGAAAATAGGACAGGACTTGCATGGGCCAAAAGAATACATGTCAGGGGGCGAGCTATTACGAAAATAATAAGAATAAAGAGTTTTTCGTTACCTCGCCAGCCACAAAGTGGGTGCTGGCGGGCCACATGCGACCCGCGGGCCGTATGTTGTGCAGGCCTGATCTATATGAATGTAGTTATCAAATGATCTTTATGAATGTAGTTACCAAAAGTTATATGACTGTAGTTACATAATGATCTATAAGAATATATTTACCAGATGATCTATATACGTGTAGTTACCAAATGATCCTTGTGAATGCAGTTACCAAAATATATACGAATGTAGTTACCAAATGATCTATATGAATGCAATTACCAAATGATCTATGTGAATTTAGTTACCAAATGATCTATATGCATGTAGCTACGTAATTGATCTATATGAATGTAGTTACCAAATTATTCGGAATTTTAAAATGTCTCAAAGTTATAAAGCAACCCCTGCGGTAGGTTTCCTGACCTTTACTGACAGCTTCGTTGAAACCAAACTCTCGGTCTCTCTCTCCCCCGCCCCCCACGACGTTTGCCACTGCATACATACAAATGGTGTGAACAGACGCCCACTTTTGACATCAACCCTAGGGGGGGGGTATCATCAAGTGACCGGAAGTGGGAGTTCTTTGTGTCCTCCATGTTGGGTTTCCATGAAGTTCGTCTCGTACGTGGCCCAGAATAGAACGGGTCGGGTTGAAACAACTTATCAGGGCCCCTGTCGAGCAAAGTCTTCACCCGGGGCAAAGCCTGAGTTTAGGTGCCCTCTTCCCAAAAAGTACATAGTAATACACATATTTTACATGAAACATGACGATTTTGGCACCCTCTGAAGATGGCACCCGGGTTGGGTGCCCCTTGCACCTAATATAGCGTTTGAGAATATATGTCTATTCTTCCTGTATAGCCCATTAAAAAAAAAATAAATTTACAAGATTCGTTTACAAGGGTGGAAACGTTTTTATCATGTCCTATATATGTATATTGAACACCTCACTACGGCCCCACTACAGCCTCACTACAGCCTCACTTTGGCTTCACTACGGCCCCACTACCGCCTCACTGTTGCCTCACTATCGAACAGCAAAAACAACACAGTCTTCTTGAAATGCCACTTCAGGCACTGACGGACTACCGCACTTTCTATTTGCCTTGTGTGCGGGCAGTCGCCTGGCTGTCGACTTATCACGTTATCTTGATTGTAAAGAAATTGACCGGGGTCATGAAACTCCAGCACTTTTGATTGCTTGATGGATGCCAATTATCGACATCCAGATATCGGTATCGATCCTAACCAAGATAAGTCCTCTAATCGTGGAGAGGACTTTCGGCGTGATTTGTTTAGGACTACTGAAATTAAATTCGCTCTAACCTAGAGAAGACTTAAAGACTTAAAGAGTTGTCCTTCGTTTTCTTAGGTGTTTTTTAAAAGAAATTTAAATAATGAACGTAAACTCTCTCCCCCCACCCCACCCCCCACCCCCACACACACACAATACAGTTGTAGTACATTTTATGACGAGCCAACAGTCATCGCTGGTACAAAAAAGGTGGGTGACCTGAGACGAAATTATTTCACTGAGTGACGCTCTCTTGACTATCTCCTGTGGCATATCGCACGTGACCAGAGTTAACCAATACAATGGCTGTCTGAAATATCACAAATAAAATGGCTGTCTCAAGTCTCACAGATAAAATGGCTGTCTCAAGTCGCACAAATAAAATGGCCGCCTGAGATCTCACAAATAAAATGCCTGTCTCAAGTCTCAAAAAATAACAAAACCCTACAATTACTTCTAAACAAATAAGGAGTATTGACCGAAAATTCAAAAGGAATTCGTAATAATAACTACACTCTATTAGCCAAGCGATACATTTATTTACATGTTAGACACCAATGCCATCGGACAGCTACGTAAAAGCTCTACTTCCTCTACGAATTCCTATCCACTAGAAGTAAAAGAAAATTCTATCATACCTTGGTTGCTACAATGCCCCACCGCTAGATCTTTTATGTCAGAGCATCTCAAAATACTGGCAGGACTTAATTTGGTTTTACACATTCACCACCTCACCCTTTTCCTATCTCTCATTCTCTCTCCTGCGCATTTCACTCTGTCAGTGTTTCTTCCTCTCTTAACACGAATCTGACTTTCCTAAAAGCCCCCCACCCCCACCAAATTATGTTCTTTTGTTGGGTCCCTTTATCAGTTTGGCCGTACTTTCTTTCACATATTCCCTAAAAGCCCTCCATTCAATCCCCCGCGTCTCTTCCTCTCCCTTTCTCTCTCTTTCTCTCGTTACCCCTCCGTCTTTCTTTGTCTCTCTGTCTCTCTTTCCCTTTCTCTCTCTTTCATCCCATCTCTCTCTCCTCTCTTTCCCTACCTCTCTCTCTCGCTCTCTCTTTCCCTCTTCCTCTTTCCCTCTTTCCCTCTTTCCTTCTTTCCCTCTTTCTTTCTTTCTTTCTTTCTTTCTTTCTTTCTTTCTTTCTTTCTTTCTTTCTTTCTTTCTTTCTTTCTTTCTTTCTTTCTCGCTGTCTCTCTCTCTCTCTGTATGTGTGTTTAACTCTTTCTATACTTGTCTTGTCTCCCTCTGCCATTCCCTCTCGCTCTTTAGCCTTCGCCCTGATTAGGTAATAACACTGTTTGGTTTTCTCGGCGTTCTCTAAATCCACTCCCTGTAGTTTCTTCTATAGACAATATCTCAAATCACACTCGAGATTTGTGGAGGACGAATTGTCTAATTTCTTAAAAGAAAGGAGGGTCGGCATAATGCGAATGAGGGGGAAAGAGATAAAGAGATAAAGAGATAAAGAGATAAAGAGATAAAGAGATAAAGAGATAAAGAGGTAGAGAGGTAGAGAGATAAAGAGGTAGAGAGGTAGAGAGGTAAAGAGGTAAAGAGGTAAAGAGATAAAGAGATAAAGAGATAAAGCGAATGAAGTGAGGCGGAGATACTGCCAAGAAAAATGTAACGCTCAACTAATAACCGTTTGTCTGCCTGGCGTGAACATTGGATGGTCGTCTGGTAACTTCTCCTTTTCCGACAACTCCGATACTAAATATCCCCGAGTCGCTCCTGTTTTAATCAGATAAAATTCTGTGTGTACACCTTTCCCCATGATGTAGATTTTAATATCACCGACGTTTGCTGACCATTAGGACCATCCTGAAACGTATTTAGACTTACCAATTTAAACTAATAAACAATGTTTTGTCGTATAAATCATTTATATGCATTTTGTATTATTTTATTTGAAAAGCCTAATCTCCCGCGCGCCTGTAAACCGAAGATTTATTTCGCAAATTATTTCAGAAAAACAAAAGAAAATATTACGCACCAAAAACTCTTGCAAAATTTAAAAAAAAAAAAGAATCTCAATTAGCGCAGTTATCGGAAGTTTTCTTACGTGAAATCAGTGTCGTCATATTTGCTTCATCTTCCCTGTGATAAACAGAAAAAAAACAACCAAAAAAACCTGATTTATTGGCGTTGGGTTATGGGTGGCGATAAAAATTCGACAGAATGTGTTGTCATCGGCAACGAACCTATGTGCCAAGTTTCAGCTCCATAGGTGGACGGGAAGTGGGTCACCTAGCCATTCAAAGATTTTGCCAGCTAGAAACACACGAACAAAAGCAAAGTTGACGTAAAGGATTACAAAAAAAAAAAAGTTAAAAAAAAAATAAATGTAGATGTCGCCGACATTTTTCCCAAGCGCGCCATCGGGTGTTTATGTATTTTAAAAAAAATCATAAACTGTGAATTGTACAAGTTTAAATGTATTGCATTAAAAAAAAACAACAAAAGGCAAGTGTGTCACATTGTTTTGCCTAACATGGTCATTTGGCCTAAGAGTACTTGCTGCAAACCGGACGCCATCACTTTAGAGTCTAGACCAGAGGCCCTGATTAACCCATGACAGCTTGATCCACTTATAATTAGGCAAAGAATGACAGCATTTCAGTTGAGTGCATTGATCAGAAGCACTGGCAGAACACAAACGGAACTTGACAGTAACATGAGGACACTATGTTAGGAACACGAGGTAACGTGATTAGGAACACGAGGTAACATGATAGGAACACGAGGTAACATGATAGGAACACGAGGTAACATGATAGGAACACGAGGTAACATGATAGGAACACGAGATAACATGATAGGAACACGAGGTAACATGATAGGAACACGAGGTAACATGATAGGAACACGAGGTAACATGATAGTTACACGAGGTAACATGATAGGAACACGAGGTTACATGATAGGAACACGAGGTAACATGATAGGAACACGAGATAACATGATAGGAGCACGAGGTAGCATGATAGGAGCACGAGGTAACATGATAGGAGCACGAGGTAACATGATAGGAACACGGAAACAACATGTAGGAACATTAGGGACATCTCAGACCGGGTGAGGGTCATGCTAGGAACATGGGAGGGGTGTGTTAAGGGACATGGGTTGGAACATGAGAGGAACACGGGAGGAACATGATTGGAACACGAGAGAAGCATGACTGGAACACTAGGGGGGAACATGTCACGAACACGTGAGGAACAACAAAGGAACCGTAGAGAGCAGAGGAAATGGACGATAAGCAAGTTTATCTGTCATAGGTGTACTACCAATAAGTTTATCTGTCATGGGTTTACTACCAACAAGTTTATCTTTCATAAGTGGATTGGCAAACAAGTTTATCTGTCATAAATGTACTACCAACAAGTTTATCAGTCATGGTTCACTACCAACAAATGTATCTGCCATAAGTGTACTACCAATAAGTTTATCTGCCATAAGTGTACTACCAATAAGTTTATCTGTCATAAGTGTACTACAAACAAGTGTATCTGTCATAAGTGTACTACAAACAAGTGTATCTGTCATAAGTGTACTACAAACAAGTGTATCTGTCATAAGTGTACTACAAACAAGTGTATCTGTCATAAGTGTACTACAAACAAGTGTATCTGTCATAAGTGTACTACAAACAAGTGTATCTGTCATAAGTG